CACCCATGTGCACGCCCGCCACCCACCTCGCCCCGCGCACAGGTAGGCAGCGGGTTGCTTGCTCAGAGAAAACGATCTCCAAAGGAGCAAGCCGCTGCGTGCACCCGCCTGCGCCTCGCCTCACCTTGTCCCGCCACGCGCTCCACCCCCGCCTCAGCGCACGTGCCCGCACACAGCAACCCCATCCCAGCCCGTGTGCACCGCCAGCACCACCTCTCCGGCCCGCACCCAGCACCGGCAGCTTTCACCTGGCCCCCTGGTGGAAAAGTTTGAGGACCCCGGTTCTGAAGTATGTGGCCAATAGCAACTAAAGCTTCAGAAGCAAAGAGGTAGCTGAATCGGGGTGTTAAAACGCTGAAGCAAGCCTATACTGAAAACAATTTTCATACTGAAGAACTTGATTTTTTGAAACATGGACTACACACGGTTACAATTCATTTTTAAAGTTTCATGCATTTCCCAGCTTTGTTTATTTTTCCATACCAGCTGCATATTTCCTGTCTAAATATTTAATCATTTTCTCTTGTGTTAAATACAATGTTATGGTACCATTGAGTTAGTAGGCATATATAATATACCCTTCTTCCAGATAATTTAAGAGGATACAATTGAAATGGCAGTGTATTCAAAGTATGGGCATATGGAATTAATAAAATGCTTTATTTTACTCTGCCAACTGTATGTACTTCTTGTCTTTTACATAGCTGAAATACTTTAACATCTTCTGACATATTTTGCCCTTCCCGGGTAATTAAAGCAGAGCTGCCCACACACACAAGGATGTCTGTAATTGCCTCCATGCCCCAAATACAACTGTCACCAGCACAGAAGGCTAAGCTAGGTTTGAGTATGTAGAATAAACATTCTCTCTGTGGTATCCAGTAAAATCAAGAGCTAGTTCTGATTAAGCAGAGGGAGAGAGACAAGAGAGACTCTACACTCACATGAAAAACTATTTGAAATGCAGATTTGAGTGCAAAGATTTTAAAACTGGATTTTCTATGGAGAATTCTTGTTGTAACTAAGCTGCAAACATATTTCCCCTCTTCGAACCCTAAGGAGCAGCTAAAATAAACTGGTATGGATGTAATTTTGTACAGGGATTATTCAAGATGTGGACAAGCTTATAGACCAGAACTAGGGATTTTGTCTGAAGTCACCACTTCACTAAATAAAACTGATTTTTCAAACTCCAGTTTTCTTCCTTCACCATTTATAATGCTTTGTGCAGTTCTCTAAATGGTTTTCTGAAAACAACTGTCACCCTAGATTCTTAAGTGAAGTGAACAAATCCCAGTCACTGTATCCACATTAAAACTGGAAGAAAAAAGATCCACTATAAGAGTCATGGAAAGGTTATCTTATAAAATTAAAGTGTTTCTTAGGCAATTAGGCAATAAAATCATACAGTTAGAAGGGGTCTAGCAGGCCATCAATTCCAACTGCCTGTTCAATGCAGGACTCAAACCCATCCAGACTTCAATCTGGCCCAACCCTGCTTCACTTCCAATATTAGGCAGGACAGGCACTTCAGGCTGTATAGAAGCCAATTATCAAGGAACAAAAGAAAAGCATTTCATCCTACAGATGTAATCCAATGCATTACTACATGCACTTGTTTGGATTTAAGGAACATGCTTCAACTCTAGTACAGAAAGTATAGCGACTCATGCAAAGTGGGCCTCACTTTGGCACATCTGGCTCGCTATTGTGGGAACAGAATGCTGGAATAGATGGGCCCTTGGTCTGATTGAACATAACTCATATGTTCTTCTATAGCTCTATATTCTGCAACCCACATTCCTTAATGAATGTATCTCCATTTGAACCCCCCTCTGCGAACCTTATTCATACAATCTGGCAAGCAAAATAGAAAGTGCAGATGTACTCAGAACACTCAAGTGGGCTGGTCTGACACTGGTTGAACTCAGTGGCAGCAATAAGGCTTGATGCAAGAGAAAGGTAAAGCATGAAGCATCACCATAGACTTCTTGCAGGTTACTCAGGGACAGAGAGAGACTTTTCCAGGTATCTAACTGCATTTTCAACTCCTTGATGTAAGAAAGATAGCAACAATAAACCTACTCATTCTCCAAATGTATATTGGGAAAAGGTATTTCGTATCCAATTAAAGCTTGCAGCCACAAAAACAAGATGGGCAGGATTCAACTTCTACAATTTTGTATCGCATGATTTTCAAACCATTCTTGATTTTACTGTTGTGGGGTGGCCTCTCTCACTCTCTCCTCTTGCCCCTTTGTTGTGAATCATGATGAGGCTTCTAACTACAGTTTTTATTATGTTAAAGCTGGCCAGTCAGGACTAACTTGTGATACAAAGGGAGTAACATATAGATTTTTAGCAATTGGCATCTACCGAGTTAAAACCCTCCAATTGTTCAGTTAGTCCTTGATGATAACAGGAGTTGATTCCAAACTGAATTCTCTTCCTCCCTTCCTCACCAAATGGAGCTGGCTCCACTCTCAGGGAGGATTGTGAAGCTTATGGGCCAGAAGACAGGAACGCCTGGACATTACTTAATTGGTCCACTTGTTAGACTTGACATTGAACCACAGGCCTGAGAAAGTCACACCCCTCCTCCTCTGACCTCCCTTTTCCATAGTGTCCTCCCTGAACCAGAGGTGGTCTATTTCTCACCAAGTACTTGGCTTATCTCACAGCATGTTGGCCTTGGTATTTCAGCTAAGGACACTGACCCCACCCCCATCTCTTCTTCTAGTTCAGATTCAGAGTCTGAAATCTCTAACTAGGAATGCTGAATTTTGGGAGAAGCAGGCCCAATCCCTACATCTTATTTCATCTGTTTATGAACTGTCATGGAAGTTACCGGATTGAAGAGAAGCATATACATACAAAATGAGTGAATAAATAAAACAATCCTTTAGATGCCCTGGTTGCACATACAAAATTGAGGAGCAGCAGGGTTTGAAAACTTCAAGGAATAAATCTGTGTTATACAAGTTAAAACATAGGTCAGTTAAATCCATAGGTCATTTGGACTGAAACACTCAAAGACACACCTCCCTCTGAAAATGCTAACACAAGTAAATAAATGCATTACATGCAGAAAGTCTCAAGTTCAACTACAAGCAGGGCTGAGAATGATCTCTGCTTAAAAGTTTAGAGAGTCAACACCAGTCAAGAGAATCAGTGTTCAATCCAAGTTAAGGCAGCTTCATATATGTCAAACTTACTGTAGCATTAATGCCAATAGCCAAAAATGTTAACAGGTGCCTAGGTCACCTTCATTAAATAGTATTGGAGCCCATAGAGATCACATACCAGCATTCAGTGGTGCCTGGAAGTGTGTTCCAAACAAATATGAATAATTACTTTGACCCCATTCCTTCCTCCAACCAATGAATCTCAAACAGCTGGGGACGAGACAAAATGCAGCAGAGTAAAGACACTTTAATGCATTCAGTTATTCACTTTTAACCAAATGAAGCTGTGACAACCCAGATTCAGGCTGGACATCAGGAAAAGCTTCCTCGCTGTCAGAGCAATGACAGTGGAACCAGCTGCCTAGAGAGGTGGTGGGCTCTCCCACACTAGAGACATTCAAGGGGAAACTGGACAGCCATCCGAGTGGGATGGTGCAAATTGGTGTCCTTCAACAGCAAGGACCCAATGGCCTTCATGGCCCCTTCCAAATCAACTATTCTATGATTCTATACCAGGATGAGGTCTGAGCTCTGAAACATAAAACTGATCTTGAGCTCACAGTGTTCTGCTACAGTACCCATTTCACAGAAGGCAAACTAACAAAGCTCAAAGAAATAACTGGCTAAAAAACTGAATACAAAGCAGGTGGGGTCGGAGCCCAAAATGCAAAAGCATGAGACACAACAATATAAGAGACAGGGACAACCTCACAAACCAGGAAAAATACACATGCAGAATCCAAGCAGTACCACCACTCCATACCTAAACTAAGCAGAACCAATCTGGGAAAGTGGGCTGGCAGAAAAAAAAACTTGTTTCAAATCTAATCACAGGGAAAGGACATGGATATTTCAAATGAATCATGACATTTTATCACCATAAGTGCAAAATCACCAGATCAAGGTAAAGTAACTGGCTTGCACGAAAAGACAATAGATTTGGATAAACTGTTTCAGGCTACTTTTGGCTGAGATAGTTCTGCTAAAGTGGAGAAGAATATTGCAGCAAGGGGACCCTTGCAAGTCCAACCAGTTCAGCCACATCAAATACTACCAAGCTCAGCACAGAGAACCACTAGAGTTGTCATTTAAGACATACATTCTTCAAAATTACAGAAAAAAGGCATATCTTGAAACTTTGGACATCAAAGATCTAGAATCCACCATGCTATATGGAAAGTATGATGATCCAATCTCCAGTACATCTACCCGACATCCAGCAAACACAAAATTATTATCAGCATGAGAGTATAGCATTTAACCATCTATGACCCTTCACCAGTTTCTCAGAAGTCTAATGCACTCACCAAAAAAGGAATTAACACTAGAACAAATTCTTGGAAACAGGAAATGAGAAGCTTGTCCTGGCACCTTGGCTGGCAAAGAGAAGACCAATCTAGCATTGCAGGGTTATGGTCACAGAACCATGCTTAGAGAAATTCCAATTCTTCTGGAAGGGATAATAATGCACCCTGTACAGCTGGGGCAAACTTTGCTGCAGTTACATAACTCTACAACCGGCAATGCTAGCAATTTAGTGAGAAATCATAATGTTACACAAGTTAGTGCTTTGACTCCACCTTCTTCTAGAGTCAACAGTGCTATGTCAAACTCAAGCCTAAACAGCCAGGGGCTCTCTTTAATATCTCTAACCAAGGTCTAACACAACTGTAGGCTTCCTCCTGCCCAGATCACGATTAAACCAGAATCCAAGGCCAGTGAGTAAGAATACCATACAGTGGAAGAAAACAGTTTGCCTGCAATTCAAAGCAAGTAGTAGCTGTGCATATATAGTTTCAAATCCTATATTCCCACCTGTACGTCTTGCCATCCTTGTGCTGTTCTTCGTCATCCTCATTTGGTAATACAAAAGGATCACTCATCTCTGGCAGGCCGGATTCCTGCAGCCTCTTCTTTTTACGACCACGAGGAGCTTTGGGGGCTATACCTCCAGCACCACTGACAGCTCCACTGTCTGAGAGAGTGGTAGCCCCCTTTTTGGAGAGGTCAGGGACTAGTTGGAGAGCCGCCTGAGAACCAGGGGGAAGTGCCGAGACAATCATGGGTGCCGAGATGGGAAAGGTTTGCACGGAAGATGCTGTGGTCACCAGAGACCCTGAGGGAGATGTGATCACCAGACCAGGCCCTACAGTGAAAATAAAAAGCAGAGGCAGATATTAACCCCATAAGGAGTCTTTATCTTTCAAGATATAGGAGGAAGGAAAAATTGTCCCTTAAATTGCATGTAATTAGTATTTACTCAGATTTGAGGCTCCAGGCATGAACCTCACTTTGGGCCAATCTCTCAGTCTAGCTCATCTCACAGAATTATTGTGAGAATAAAATGGAAGGGAGGAATAGCCATGTCAAAAAAATTATCCAGCATGGCAAGTGTGGTGCCACCCTCTGGTGAGCATAATGAGCAGCCAACCTTCCACTCCAAGTTGCAGAGCAGAGGTGGGCAGAATACTTTGCCCATGTCAAAGTAAGTCTAAAACTGGGAGGAAGGCTTAGGAGTGTTCAAGCAGCTGCATGTCCAGAGCCTTGGCTACAAAGGATCAAACCGACAGACCCGACCCCTGCAGGCCTTTGCTGCTTCACAGCAGGAGTGAATATGTTTAACACTACCATGCAAAGGCATACAGTGCATGCTCCACATGTACTTGTCAGCCTGGGCAAGGTTGGAGGAATGATAGTTGCAGCTGCCTAAAAACAGAGTCGATCCTGTTAAACGACAGCACACCATAACACATGTTCCCTTTCCAAACCTCCTTGAGGGGAACAAGAAGCAGTGTGTTTTAGTGATTGGATCCTAACCATTACACTCCAATTCAAGCGATGTGGGTTCTAGTCCCCACGCAGCCAAGAAACTCACTGGGTGACTTTGAGCCTAATCTATTCCACAGGGTAGCTGTGAGAATAAAATGGAGAAGAGGACCAGGCAAGAAATGTAGGTATCAATGTTAATGATGAGAATGAGGATGATGTGAGAGAGTTTGGCAACAAGTTTTTGGCTTGGACAGCAAAACTTACTAAAAATTTAATATCCCTGCATATACGCAACTCTGAAGTCCTTAGTATAGAATGAAAGAGCCACATGGCTAATGAGGCTGGATAAAAATCTAATAACTAAGTATATACAGACATTTGAATCTACCAAACTGAAATATCTGACATATTTGTCTAAATCAGGAATTGGCAACCTGTTGCCCTCTAGATCTTTTGGTCCAGCTCTTACCTTCTCTTGCTGATAAGAGTTGTACTATGAAACATCCAGGAAATCTTAAGCTGCACACCTCTAATTTAGACAGTGATTAACCATCATTTGCTGTCCAAGCACATCACCCCTCATACATTCCTTGTTTCCTCTTTTAGCCAACAACCTATAATCAGCCAGATCATAGGTTGTGGATATGAGGTCCAAACACAGAGCACTAGGTTGTTTAAGGGCTAAACTGCCCAGTGTTTACTCAACAATAAACCATGAAGCACGTGCCAAGCTGTTTAACCCCTAAACAAACAAGTGCTCTGAGTTCCCACATCATGCTCATAATCCATCAATGGCAGGCTGATGATTAAAAGGAGTGAGGAGCACACAGGAGGCAGCACCCTTGCTCACTCCCACTTGTGCATGAACCGGCTCACTAGGAAGGTAGGTAGTTTTATGGTGCAGCAGCATTCAGGAAATACTGGGCATCTGGCTAAAATCTTTTCCCCATATCTAAGACAACGAACCACACCCCTTTCCCAAGAACAGATCGAACTGTTCCAGCAGCTATGCTGCACCACGGGCAACACCCACAGCACACTCCACATCTTCTCACCTGTTGTCATGAGGCCAGCAGACTGCACAGGTACTACGGTGATGTTCTGTGTCACGGAAGCTTGGCTGTGAGGGGTCAGCTGCTCTGGCTTGGTGTCAGAATCCATAGAAATGTTGGTGGGAAGGGCCACAGAGGTGGGTACACTCAGTAAGGTAGGATAGTGAGGGGGAGCCAGAGTACAGCCTTTCTCTGAGGGCAACAGTTGCTCCTTCATCTTGTTAATGAACATACTGTTGTCAATCTAGAGTGAGAGGAGGAAAGCGGAAGAGAATTTTTTAAATAGCTGTGGACAGAGGGTTGCATAAACTATGTTATAGCTTAAATATTCCTTACCTGTCCTGAGACTGTGGGCACTGCTGGCCAGAAATATGGGGTGGAGTTGAAGTGAGATTCTTCCATTCTAGCTGAAGGGCAAAGAGATAAGGCTTGATGTCAGACCAAATTACTTTGATGATGGTGATGATATTATTATTATTATTCCATCAACCTGTTGAACATGTTTCAAAACTTCAGAAGCCTAAGATGTCACAAAATTTCTTGGCCATTCTCTAGAAAAGGAGAGGCACTGCATGTACCAGTAAACCACAATTTGCCAAGCACAAACAGGAGCCAGTGAGCATGCTGCCTTTGGTGTGCTTGCCACTTCCATTACACCACTTGCAAGCATCTCAATTGTAGCTTGCTGTTGTGACATCCACACCAGGGCACTTCACATTGTTTAGGAGTTAAACAACTCAGTATTAAACCAAGAAACTTCTTGTGCCCAGTAAATTATTGGTTAATTAACCCATATTTGCTGCTATATAAGAACTGGGTTTTGAGATTTACAGAAAGTCAACAATCCTTCATAATTCAAATCAAAGATAGCAGGAACACAAGGAACCCCATGCTCTCTCTCTTCTTGAAACAATGCCAAACAAAATATTGAAGAGGATCTTGCAAAAATGCATGCAACTGCACAAAGTTACTAGTGTTAAATCTCCATTTAAATAAAATAAGGAGTTGCACCTTCATTGGTGCAGAACTTTCTGATGTGGCTGCATAGCAATCCTTTAACAGCCCAGAACCCTAGATTTAGTCATTCTGGTCTATTAATGATTGCTGAATACAGAGTTTGCATTTGCTTCAACTCAATGAGATGCAATGAGGTGGTACCATGCATGGCTCAAATGATTTGCTGAAAGCTTGTCCAGCCCAAATCAAACTTCTTTAAGTTCTGATCCTCCTTATGCTCAATATGACATATATCTTTCTCCCCTTCCAAATGTGACAACAGATTGCCACAGTACTGATCCAGCCTCCCTTCAGTCAAGATCCACACATACCTCTCTAAACCTGTATCGATTAGTGCCATGCAGTATCTATTTTTCAGTCTGAGTAAACTTTTTAGAAAAGCTCAAAATGTCTTCCCATTGGCAGAGAAGAACTCAAAGAAACTCTAATATCAATGGTGCAAGGGAAAATTTTTATGCAACATTACTTTAACCCATAGTCTTTTGGGTAGGAAAGCATGCTACAAGGCTGAGAACACCTCATGTTCCATGTTACAGCCTTTATAAAGCACAACAGAAATATCAGTAACATTTCTATCAAAAAACCATGTCCATCTACAATAATTCACCATCATCTGACTAAAACACACGCTAATGAAGATTTTCCCTGGAAAAGCCAGCTGGCCTTCATACCAAATAGGGACTACAGCTAAGAAAGGGCAGTGTTTTACAGCAGGCATTGGCAGATTTCCAGATGTTTTATACTTGAAGTTCCAGAAGCCCCTGCCTACATAGTCAATGGTCTTCAAGCTTGAAAGTAAGTTCTAAAACAGTTGGAGATCTACTTTCTGCCAACCCACTTTACAGAATATTCCCAAAAAACATGGAGAACAGATGAGGTATTAAATCATTATATTACATTTATACCTTGCCTTTCTTCCTTTTGCAAGGAAACCAAGACAGCTAATAAGGTTCTCCTCCTTTCCATTTTATCCTCACAACAACCCTGTGCTGTAAGTTATACTGAGAATCCATGATCGGTCCAATACCACACAGTGAGCATCATGGCTGGGGGTGTGGGTGGGGGGGACCAGAACTAAGATTTTCTCAGTCCCAATCCAACACTAACTGCTGTGCTAGTTCTCATTCATGACTTCCACAATGGAAATTTTAATTCAAGCCTCCCAATAACTTGTAAAAAATAATGGCTGTAATTTCATTCATACTTTCTTGGTAGTAGGCTCAGTAGCAGTCACCTCCAAGCATGCATGGTTAGGAAGGACTATACCAAGCATGGGATGTCTTCATCTTGAGAACACTTAACATTCTACTGAAAAACCAAAAAATGTTCTTCTCACATCAGGTCAATTATCAAGAAACTTCTGCAGCTTTAAAAAGAACAACTTCCATACCACAACCCCTATGCACTTACCAAATAGTTGTACCAAATAATGAATATTTCCCATTTCAAATTTTGCATTTCAAGGGGCTACAAATCTGATTCAACCTAGATGCAATATGGATGCCAGTAAGGAACTACATCCAATACCAAATACACAAGGAAAAAAACGAGAATATACAAATTACTGTCACATATTTAAATTTCATTAATCACTAGCTCTTGATAAAGCTCACAAGGAACCTGATTTCTGCCTAAAGATAAATAGAAAGTAATGTAACCATTAAAAAAAATAAGCATTCTTAGTTGCACTAATATGTTCACGCAAACACAAATATATTAAAGCATGCTTGAGGTTTGAACATGAAGTATCCAAGGCAATGCAACAACCCACCAAGAAGGAACAGTACCTTATTTCCAAAACTGGATTCGATACAGTATCAAGTGCATGAACCATATTTCAGTAAATAAGAACTAGCTAAATACATGAGAGTACAGCTTTTGAACTAGGATCAAAACCCTAGAAAACTTAAAAAGCCTGGTGTAAAGTATTTTTAAGTACATGCCAGGATAAAGTTGTCAAGCTGATGATAGAAATGCACCAAACATTCTGCTAGTGATTCAGATAATAAGAAGCAGATGATCTCTGAAAACTTACACAGGTCTCCCTGTTGCAAGATTCTCTCTTTTTCCGGAATGCTATGTTCAACCTTCCATGTATCCCCAAACCCCAATCTATGGGCCCTCATCAGTTACAAAGCTTGTGCTTTGAGGAAGAAAGTCAAACAAGGTCTGATCACCATCCCCAATGTAGCCCACAATGCTGCCTAGCATAAAAACAATATACTAAAAGCAGGTATAATTTAGTGTGCATGTGGAGGGGAGAATATACTATGGGGCGAAGAATTTAGCACTCAGAGAAGCTCAACTGTATCAGAGCATGGCTCCACATAGTCTAGCCAGATGTTCCAAGGAACCCCACAAAAAGATCATGAAGGCACCAGTCCTATTCTGTTTTCCTCCAGTATCCAGAAGTGCTGCCTTAGAACAGGCAAGTTTCATGTACCTGCCACAGCCAATTGTTACTGCTAGTCTTATCCTCCATGAAGGTGCTCTTCAACCCACCTATACTAACGTATACCACCACACACTGTAAAGTCTATAAATTAACCCTGCTTTATGGAAAGAACGACTTCTTTTTCTTTTCAATCCTAAACCACCTGCCAACCAGTTTTATGAAGTTGAACACCCCAAGCCCTGCTTTCGAGGAACCACATCTAAATTAACAGAGACATGAAAATCAGAAGGAAGGGAAGCCAGGGCCATCCCTTGCTTCCTGACTGGGCCATACTTAGGGGTCCCCAACTCCACCCACCCCCCCCTTCGTAGGAACACCACGTGCTTTTATTGGCACTGACCCCGCCCGCGGCCCCTCACTCTCCGGCCCGCCCGGGCCGAGGCAGGAAACAGCGGCCGAACCGACGCGGAATCCAGCGGCACACGGGCCACCAGCTGAGATGAAGCAGACCCAGAGCCGCCGCCAGTGCCGCCGCCGCCACTGTTGCTGCTGCTGGTACTGTTGCTGCTGGTACTGTTGCTGCTGGTACTGTTGCTGCTCCCGCCTCCGCCTCCCGCCGCCGCTCCCCCGGACAGCCAGGCGGACAGCAGACAACCCTTGTCTTCCGCTTCCGGGTGACTTAACCCCGGAAGTGCTCCTTGTCGGGGAAAGCCACTCATGTTCTCCCGCCCGCTGCCCATTACCCAGCCCCTCCCGACCCCCGGAGACAGCCCCCCGGCTCTGGCCCAAGTGGCGGTAACGGCAGCCTCCTCCTCACCGGAAAAAGGAACGGGAAGTCACTTCTGGGTTCAAGAGGCGGGGTTTGAGTTAACACTTCCGGGGCGCCAGGCTGGTGGCAGTCGAAAGGGAGCTTGTGCTCAGATAGGAAGCGATGTGATTGGCGGCCAAAAATAGGATTTCGAAAGCTGAGCGAGCTGAGCTGAGCGCGCGAAACGAGAGGCCGCTGACGGCGCGCCGCAGCGGCCACAACTGAGGAAGACGCGCAGCTGACACTGCCGTGCCCCTAAAGGCGGATCAGACGGAAAGAGCCGCCTCTTCCCGGGGCCTCTCCAGCTGCTTCACGAAATCCTTGCTCATAACGTTGTGTCCTGCGGGATGCTTCCTCAGAGCTGGGCTGCAGCTGTAGCGGCTTCACTGAGCTCTCTCTTTCTCAGAGACCTTTAAGGCTCTCCCGCGAGTGTTCTGCTGTCAGTTTAGCGACTGTCAATCGTAGATGTGAGGAAAAACGTGCTGGTAACACTTCTGCCTAGTTGCTCAGTAAGAAGCAAATGAAATCCTACCTTCCACTAGTAACAATTCGAGGACACTTTAAAAAGACGTTGCTGGTGTTGAATGCAATTAAATATTCTTCGCATTTATATCTACATTCTGGCTGTTTCACACTTCCTCATCACAACTTTTCTTGCTAGGAGCGTGCAAACACTTTTTCTGGCAGCCCTGCCCATTTCTAGGATTCAGTCCCCGGAAGGTTACCCACAAGGCATTATCGCCCCTTGGGCCAAAAAAGACAACCATCCCGATTTAACATAAGCATATTTTAACGTACAAAAATCATTTAGTCATTTCTACAAAAAAATGACATTTTTGCCACAGGGCATATGTAAGTATGTCTGTGTATCCTTCTCACCTTGATCACAGTGATCCCGCTCAGGATTACTGGGGATGCTTTAACCTGACTTGCACTGCAGAAACTCTGCAGGAGTTTGCTAGAGTGGAGAGAGGCTGCTTCAAGTTCAATGAGGCTACAGTTTCCTCTCGCCCCCAGTAATGCCAGCTGCGGTTTCTGCTTCCCTGCTGCCATTAACTTCAGGAAGGCAGCAATCTAACTGCTTTGGGGTTAATGAGGAGGGGGAGGATGAAGCTTCCTCTCTGGCCCACCAATCCTGATTGAGATCACTGTTCTGGAGTTGCTGTCTGCATGGGCAAATAGCTTTCGATTCTGCAGAGAAATGTGGGCAGGGTTTCTGTGGGCCCAGAACTGCATACAGCCTGCCAGTGGTGCACTCCTGGTTTAAGCGTTGTGTAGCTAACCTGTTTTGCTTTCCTGACTAAAGGCTTCCTAGGTGGTTGACTGTAAGTGGAAATTGATACATAATAATAAACAAGATTTGTTTAAAAGGCAGCAAGACTTAATAAAACAAAGATATTGCTGCTGCTGCTGCTGCTGGGTACTCTTAAGTGCTGCTCTTGAATGGTTCCATGCTGAACATGGGGAAGAATACCTCAACTTCCCCTTAGACAAACACACACATGCATGCATATGTTATTTATTTATGTAATGAATCTTTATCCTGTCTTTCCATTAAATTTTGCTCAGGGCAGCTAAGAACAGTAAAATACAAAAAATACTAATTGTAAAACAACAACATAGTAAAAATATATTAGCAACATTAAAAAAAGGTATACACTGGTTAAAACCAATGTCAGCAAACAAATTGGTTTAAAAACCAAAACCTTGTCAGAATACAAATGCCATTGTCTGCTGACAGAAGGACAGTAAAAATGGTGCTAACTCGTCATCACTTGGCTGGGAGCAACCACTGAGAAGACCGCTCACTTTCCTGATAGTTATACCTCTGATGGCAAGAGAAGCGCTCCAAAGAACTTAAAACCTGAACAGGTTCATATGGTAGACTGCACTTCTTCAAACAGCATAGACCCAAGTTGTGAAGGGCAGTGCTTTTCTCTGCCAGGCTCAAGGGCCACCGGTGGCTGCAATTGCTTCAGCTGCAACACTCCAGTTCTCATTCACTCACTCTGTCTCTGCAGTGGTTCTCCTTCTTATTAAAATCTTGCTAGCTTTACCCTCTTGTTTGTACTAGCAGTGGGATGACTGCTATGATCAGGGCTGCTAGAGGAGATTTATGGGGATGGGGGTGAGTGAGAGAGGCACTGGGGGAAGAAAGTGGAAGAGGAATAAATTAATTAGTTGTAGGGTGAGATGGAGGAGCAGAAGAAGCAAAGAAAAATGTTACTGGTTAGCTGCGGATCTTGCAAAATTAAGCAGAGCAGTCTCTTAGTAATGAGCAAAAGAACCTTCCCCAAGTGAACCAGTTGGGATTTGCCCAATGGTAGTGTATTTTCAGTTTCAGCATAATGTGAGTATAGGATTCCTCTACTGTGTTGGGAAAATTTGGATAAATCCTGTCTGAAAAGCATTACTTCTCTGTGCTTTTGCATTGTGGGATCAAATCCCGTACTCCTTCTCAAAACCAGGCTAAGTCACTGTTTAAAATGGCATTGGAAGTCAGTTTACCAGGAAGTATCTTCTTAGCCCAGAGGGCTTCATGTGCCCTGGTCATTCAGAATGTCTAGAGTCTAGATAAGGGTCTGAGCTTATCATGAATAGTTTCTCAGTAGCTTGAATTTACATGTGTAAGCAGACCTGGAGATGGGTTCAAGTTTCTCAACTAAAGTGTCAGTACACTGCAATTAGAAATATTGTAATCTCATTGTCTCTGTATGATTGACTGACATTCCTTTATCTGTTCTGTATGTGATGACCTCAGAACCTTATTGTAATGTCTGCATTCTGTCATCAATTGCCCTGTACCTGGGAGGTATAAATGCCCTGTAATGGTATTGAAGCTTTGCAGCAGAGTTTACCTCTGCCTGACCGGTAATGCATTATTGTGAGTACGGACCTGCGGGGAACCTGGGTAATGCAATAAAGCCACAGATGGTCTGGACGCTTGATCTTTCCCACGAACCCGAGTTTTATTTCCTCTTTTCAAATTGAGATTCCGGGATTCTGACAATTGAAAGCAGAGGGAGAAGTGCTAGGAGAATTATTAGGATACTAACAGCAGCAAATGCAACGGCAGCCTCCACCTGTATTGTTAATTTCATGTATCACCAGGCCTGTGAGAGACGTGGGAATGAGTCTGTGGAGAGGAAGATGACCCGGAACAGGAAGAGCTGTAGGAGGCTAGCAACACTCAGCGTATGCTTTCCCACCCCCTGAAGTAGGAAAGCAATTGTTCTGCTTCTGGAGCCCAGTGCCTGCACCTCGTGCCCTACCCTCTTCCTGGCACCACATTGCACCCTCTCCCTTCCTGGTGCTGTATTTCCCCACACTGGGGGGCAGACAGGCCCTGCAGAGAGCTAGCCAGGCCAACATGGCTGCTCTGAGGCTTTCTCAGTGCCAGGCATGGAATGTCCCAGGAGATGGTCTGTCGAGCTTGTGCTGTGGGTGTGCAGGCCGGCCTTTGCCATATTGGGGTGGTGGTGGGGGGTTCCGCAGGGCAGCCATGCATGCTGCTGAAGAGATTTGTCACTCTGGAGAGCCCTGCAGACGGCATTCTCTTCCACTGCAGCAAAAGTGGGAGAATAGCTGGCAGGGTTTTCCAGAGCAATTGGAGGAGGGTGGAGTGCGGCAATGTCGGGCTTCATCCCACCCCATGGAAGAGTCAGCCCTGGCTTGCAACTCTTGCAAGAGACGAGTCTGAAGGTCTAAGAGAGAGGCAGGGCCAGTGGACTCGGAAGCCGAAAAAGAATAGCATAGCCCAGGGAAGGAGAAAGTCTATCTGGAAGTAAATGGAGGAAGGGGAGGAGTTGAGAGAGCAGAGGGGGAGCTGGAGAGAGAAGGCCTTAGGGTGCACAGAGGTGGAAGCTAGCCAGGCCCACACTAGCAGACAGAGGTGGAGAGAGGCTCAGCGGAATATTCTGAGTGCAGGCTGAGGAAGACTGAAAGAAAACCCTCCAGCAGGGTGAAATAGGGCAGAACATGACCCAGAGACAAAGGGGAAGGAGAAATTCCAACTCCTAAAGGGCTAGCCTGGCTAATGGAAGCTAATAGGTGACACATAGAACCACATCTTATGCAGTAACCTACTCCAATACAGCTGACATCTTGATGCAGTTTTCTCTTTCTTCATCATTTGTGTATGAGATTATGGAAATTTATGACATGGAGCTGCCCTACACATGTATATACGTCCTGAGATGACACAACCGATCAATATACAATTTTAATCCCGCTGATTAAGTTTGAAATTCTTCTCATGGAAGACTGTACTTTTAAAAATGGGTCACATTACTCATCTGTGTGACCTTCTTTCAGAAAAGATCTGTGTAAAGCAAGGACAATGTCACTTTCATTATATCTTTTTTGAACAAAAACCACTTGGGGGCATATCTGCACTACAAATTGATAATTTGTTTTATATCTTGTTGTGGCTCCATCCAGAGGAACCTAGAAACGGAAGTGTGATGTTATACGGAGAATCATCCCATTCCTAAGCCGTGGTACTGGAGAAGAAGGTGTAATAAATCTATCTGTGGGTGTAAGTTTGCCCTTCAGTCGGGGTTTATGAGCAGCTGGAACTGATGTCAAAATTCCTTCGGATGCCTCCAGGTGAGGAGGGTTCCAACCATAGCCGCTTCCTGCACTACTGCGTTCCACCGCCCTTTCTCTCAGATATTAGTGCTATAAACAGGGCTATCGTTAGCATAGTTAGTGGATCAGTACAGAAAAATGCATATGTTAAAGGGAATAGTCATTACAAATTTTTGTATCATGTTGGATTAAAAGCTTTAATTTCTTAAATGAAAACAAATCATTTTTGTAACCATTTTTCTATTTCTTCATTTAACATACAGGGAGGGCCTCTCATTCTCCAAAAGGCCTGACTTTAAGCACTCAGTTCAGGAATGTTCATTCTTGGGGTTCCA